TGTCCTTTAATTGGAAAAACTCCCTACGCCCTTCGCGGGGTTGGAAAAAGGAGGTGTGACAATGGCTATTGTACCTCCCAAATTACTGTAAAAATTTCTTTCCAAAGACCTATTAACTGTTTTTTCTTTTCTGGACATCAGTGTAGAATGGCCATCCTTAATGTGAAATTTTCATTTTTTTCTTTTTCTGCTCTTGCTCTCTGTTATGTGAAATATCTGGTCTAATCTTAGGACGTATTTAGCTGCAGAATCTTACACTGTGATGGAATTCCTCCTCTATTTACGAAGACAAGCCATACCTACACTATAGTTGCAACTTGCACTACAGAGTAGGCTACTATGCCTATTGTTCATTGACCTTTAGGGGAAATTTCACCAATATTCACCCAATTTTTTGTGATACTTAGGCGAAGTTGAATAATCTTTTTGTTACAAAAAATAGTTATCCCCCCTTTTAGCTTACTCAGGTAAAGTTGAATGAATTGTTTGTTAGAAAAAAATAATTTAGTAACTTTAGTGGAATACAGTCAATATTTTCATGTTCCATTCTGTTCTTTCTTTTTTTTCCTACCTTAGTCCTCTTCCCCTTTGAGTCTCATAAGCGAATATTTCGGTGCGTGCACTATAATGAACACGCACACTTGTAGTTAAAACTTTGGCAACTAAATGCTACTCTACACAAAACAAGACTACTTACTATGTAAAAAATTTAGATGCACATTTTTATCATTGATGTTGCTGCCCATGTGGTAGGATCAGCCTGTTGCTTTAACCTGCCTATTTGTAGCCCCTTCTCGAATTAGTGATAAAAAAGTGGTGAAGAGATTAGACTCCCGAGGACTATATATGATGTGACATTTGGAAGTTTGTATGAATCTAACCATCTAAAGTATAACCAAATCCGATCTCTTAATCAGTCAAGATAAAGAAAAAACATAAATGGAAATCTGGAAGCAAAAATCCTTTGATACTCTTCTGAAGGAATGACATAGAAATAAGATTAGACTCCTCATGCTAGAAGAATATCACAGCTGATGGATCCTTGGGTTTTATAGGAAAGACCCCAAGTGTGTAGGTTACATGTTCATATAAACTCAGTAGCTTTAGTCCAAATTATATATTTATCTTAAAAAATTTATTAAATATGTACAAATTATTAATTTTAAACTTCAATAATGGAAAAGAACTAGAATTTTAAACTCATAACTTTGACCCTGGCTGACTTCAGTTGCATTTTCCGCAGTAGCTTAAAGGTAGAAGCTTACACATATGTGTGTCTAAAAGACAGCTCGGTGCACTAGGCTGCCGCTGTATTGTCTATCACTAATATTTCCAATTACCGAAGAACCCATCAGATCCTCCGATGAGAACTGACCTTTTGCGGTCCTTAACAGGGAAGGAATAGCAAAAGGCAGTCATATTATAAGACTACTTTTCCAATGACTGCTAGTAGTAGTAATACTTTTTGATTGCCTCATGGCCTATAAGAGAGAAATCTGTAATTATTTATCTTTTTTACAGTAGTTGCAAAAAATGAGTCTCATGACCTTTTTAAAGGTTAAAGCTGAATACCCTACACGCACCCCCCACATGACCCAGCAACATAGTAGAAGCATTTTCCTGTCAATTATTTGGAGTTAGTCTGTATTAAAGAAAAAGGGAGGTGAAACTTTTTCCACCCAAATAAAGGTTTTCCCTTTACTTAACTTTGCTTAATTGCTTCAAGCCTAGTCTTTATCGCTTAACAACAGATCTTTCCTAGTACTTGTTTGCTGACAACTTGTAAGCCATAAATTTCATGTATGGCATTTTCTACAGTGAACAATTAAAGTAGCTCTGCCAAAACATAAGACTTCACTAGTAAAGTAGCTACTAGACAAAAAGAAATAATATTGTCTTGACTAGTTTATAGACATCTATTATTCCATCACCTATTTATCACCTTTTATCAGCACAAATATCGAATACTAACTTTTATCATTAAAGCTTAGGTGTATGAAATAATTTACTTAATATTTTGGTATTTCTTCACTACATTAAAGCTAGACCAACCTCAGAATGCAAAGGATCATCCTAGTTTTTGGAAAACTGCAAAGTTCCTTTTTGTTTCATAATCTTGCAGTGTAAGTTAAATTAAAGCCCCCAACATTCTACAAGTTCGTACAAAGGGATGAGTCATGACGTTTCTTCTCTACGTAGTTTTCAACTATGTACTCCCTCCGTTTATTTTTACTTGTCCACTATGGACTTTGCATATACCGTAAAAAATAATAAATGAAGTACATAATTTATCATGATACCCATATTAAATGATCTATATTTTTAATGAATTTAAAAAAATAATTTGAAATGAGTAATTAATACTATGGATATAACAGAAACAAAAATTATCTTCTCTTATTATGCAAAACGTGATAAGTAAATATAAAAATCTATTTTTAGAATATTAAATAACTAAAAATGAAGGGAGGGAGTACTAAATTTGCCTTAAAGCTGACTTGACAAAGAAAGACATTATAAAAGGAAAAGAGCGAACTAAACAAAGGTGAGTTTATTTTAACCTAATTACAAAAACCTAGGGTTAAGTTTCTTGTGAAAAATCTAAATGGTCTCTTTATGTTATGTCATGCCTTAACCAGGTAAACAATGGGTTTGTTGGCCCCCATTTGTTAGGTTTTTTTAACATTAAAATACCCGCCAAGAAGTTGATTCAACTTCCTTTTTTGATTTCCACAGTCCAAAAGATTCAGAAAACACAACACAAAAAAGCAAAAGTGAAAAAGATCACATTCCCAAAAGCAACCAAAAAGCAAAATTCACACTTTGTTGTACTAAACCAAACAACATGTATATACACTCAAGATCCTATTTTTATACTCTCAAACTCGTGCATTATTTCTCCTTTGCATTCCCAAATGTTTCTTGGCTTTCCACAAAATGGCAGAAATTGTTCTTGCAGAACCAATTCAAGAAAGTACTTCTTCTACTGCTGCTAGTACCAGCAGAAGAGATTATACCACAAGCAATGAAAGACCCTTCACTAGATCAATCACTTTCGGGCGAGATCATGTGCCTGAGCCCTTTGACAGTGAGAAGTTGCCAGTCACTTTGATTTCAGAGATTCAACGATTTCTTCGAGTAGCTAATCTTATTGAGTCAGAGGAGCCTCGTGTCGCTTATCTTTGTAAGGCTTTATCTAATTTTTCCTCTGTGATTGCTTGTTTTGCTGTTATAGTTTAAAAATATGGCAGTGTGTTAATCTTTTCAGTCATGGGTTGATAATTCAATGAATTCGAAGAGGTCGCTTTAGAATTAGATTTAAGTTATATACACTAGCAAGTTAATAGTCTTTACACTATCAATGCAATTTGACTGGTTATAATAGGTTATTTCTACCATTTTCCATGTTACTAAAAGGGCAGCCTTGTGCACAAACCATCTCGTATTCATGCAGGGGCATCTCGTATTCATGCAGGGCACCCCAAGAGTAATGATGTAGACAACCTATTCTAATGCAAGCATTCGTGGCTGCTTCCACGGCTTGAACCCATGAACTATTTTCCATGTTACTATCGAGCTTAATACCTATATTTAAAAAAAATTAGTCGGTGCACGAAACTCAATTAGGATTACATGTGCATAGTGTGTGTATTCGAAAAAATTCAAGTAGCAACAAGTTTGTCATTTTCCAATTCAACTTTATCAAAACATTTTCTTTAGCTAGTATGTCCACCACTTTAAGTTATTCCATTTGACCATAAACTTTGAGTCAAAATTGGAGAATTTCAAGTCATCTGGAAAATCTTTGGCTAATGGTTCTTCTAGCTGCGTGTGATTGTCCCTTCAACCATGTATTTTTCTTTCCTGCACTAAGGAGGTTATTTGAACCACACTGTGGTAAGAAACATTTTTGTATTACTGAAATTGTACATATCAAAAAGAGCATGGCCTGATTTTACATTTTGCTTTGCTAGTTTTTATCTTAGGGATAAAAATTTGAGAAAATGTAAAAATTGAAGAGTAGTGTGTGCGTTAAAAGTTCTTTTTTTCATCCATACAACCATAATGTACAGAGGAGATGAACGTGCCGAAACAAATATAATTAATTATTTTCATTTCTCATTCCTTCCTTCTTCTTTTGTTAATGTTACTTATTTTCTTTTCAGTGATAAGTGATTAATCCAGATTTCTTAAGCAGGTCGTTTTCATGCTTTTGAAGTAGCGCATAACTTGGACAGGAATTCGAATGGCCGAGGAGTACGGCAGTTTAAAACTGCTCTTCTTCAACGGCTTGAACAGGTACAATCTATCTTAAAGGACAGTTACTCAATCTGAATGTAAATATAGCTGTATTGAAATAGAGCTGCAGGATTCCCTGTCATGTTTAACGTCATTAGTGGCTTGAACTAGTAAACAGCTTTCAGAGGGAAAAAAATGTATTCTGGAAAATCTAAGATTGGTAATTTATACTCATAATCTGCATTTGAATTTCTAAACAGAAACTTCAATTTTTTGTACTAAAGCAGAAACTATTGGACCAAGTCCTCTTGTACAGTCCATACCAGACCTTGAAATGCCAATCTCAAATCTTGCTTCAGTTCTTTGTTTGTAACTTACAATATGAATTTTCAGGTCTACATTTAGCGCATTTCATTTCATCCCGGACCTACCATCTTCAACTGTTTGAACAGAGTTAATAGCTTTTTTAATAGTTTCCCGGTACTTTATTTCTATCTAGATCCATGCTATTGAATTGTCATGTTGTCTAATTCTATGAACTATAGGATGAAGAAGTTACTCTCAGGAAAAGGAAGGAAAGGACTGATTTACGTGAACTTAGACGTGCTTATCGCGAGTATAAAGACTACATCATCAAATATGGTGCAGAGAGTCATCTAGAAAATAGGTAATGATTCCACTCTATCAGGGTTTATCTTTGGCATCAAGAGCGCTAATGTCCGTAGAATCACCGTGTCATGTTCTCTACTTGCACAGAGAAAGGCTGACTAAAGCACGTGCCATTGCTTCAGTGTTGTTTGAAGTATTGGATACAGTTTCCAGAGCAGCAGGTGTTCAGGTTTTGTTTATGTGATTTCCTTCTCTTATTACTTTGGTTAGCTCAATCTTGGTTGCGTGCTAATAGAACCTTCTATGTGTCTTCTTATTAGGCTCTAGCTGGGAGTGAGAGGCGCGATGCCAAATCTGAACTCTTTGTGTCGTATAACATTCTTCCTCTTGATCAAGGAGGAATTCATCATGCAATCATGCAACTCCCCGAGGTATGTATAGATAATTATATGAGTTTAACTGGCTAAATGGTTTTGAGTGTAGCAGTTGCTTCCCCTTTTTTTCCCATGTTAGGTGAAAAAAGCCTATCTATTGGGCAATTTTGTCTTCTTTCCTTTTGTGTGACAGCTATAATAATGAGCTTAATATTCCACAGATTAAAGTTGCGGTTGCAGCAGTTCGTGATGTTCGTGGTTTGCCTTTCCTGGAAGATTGTCAAAAACACATAACCAACCTGGATTTGTTCAATTGGCTCCAGTTTTGCTTTGGATTTCAAGTATTAACCTCTCTATTGCATTTCAATTCATAAATTCTCCGTTCAATCACCATTTCTTCCTTTGTACATTTTGTTTGTATCAAGATTATCAAAGCTGGAAAAATCATTTCCTACGCACTTCTCAATTTAACCATTTTATCCTCCCTGTCTATGGCATCAATGATTAAAATCACCTTTCTCTTGTCAGGAAGGAAATGTAGCCAATCAGAGAGAGCATTTAATTTTATTACTTGCTAATGCGCATGTTCGGCAGACTCAGAAGCAAGTATTAGTACCCAAGGTGCAGTACTAGTATTACCTGGCTCTTTCTAGTTAAGGTGTCAATTTAATCAGCTATGTTATGCTTGCTTTCCTGGTATTAGCTAGGGGATGTTGCCGTTGATGAGCTGATGAAGAAGTTTTTTAAAAATTATACAGATTGGTGCAAATTCTTGGGACGAAAAAGCAATATTAGGTAAGATAGTCTGTGACAGAACCATATATTTCAAATTCCTGCTGCTTAGTGGAAGTTGTTGTTTTTCTTCTTACTTCACTTCACTCTCTAACAACTTTTTCATTATCTCATCACTGTTCAGGGTTCCATATTTGAAACAGGAGGCTCAGCAATACAAACTTCTGTATATAGGTCTCTATCTTCTGATATGGGGAGAGGCTGCTAATTTAAGATTTATGCCAGAATGTCTGTGTTACATATTTCACCATGTAAGCTGGCACTTTATCATTTCTGTAAAAGTGACTCCATAAAAGATTTGAGTTGCAGGGAAAGTAGTTTTACTCTGAATTATTAACATATACCAATATTTAATACAAGCTGTCTTCAGAGGTTCAAATAAAATTTGGAAAATTTATGTTGTTGGTTCTATTTTCCTCTTTAAAGCAACCTTCAGAAGGTGAGAGCTTTTCTCGCATGCTGAGCTGTTAGGGTAGTGTGTGCTTGCCTTACAAGAATGACCTTGATTAAAACTTTCACAGAAATAACCGCATAATGGGCTAATGACATTAACCTTTCCTCTTATTGATCTAAATTACTGTATCTTCTGATACTAACTTAAAACAGATTCTAAAAGATCTAAAGAAAGGAAATAAGCAAGTATTCAAGTTTCATCAATTGAATTTTCTATAATCAGTCCATGTCCTTTTTGACTTTGTGAAGTTTAATGCCTAAGTTCTGTTATTAGTTTGAAGGCTAATCCTATAAAAAGTGTACAGTGCCGCAAAATTAGAAGAAAGAAAATAAATGATTTAGGACGGTCTAATTGCTTGTTGCTCCATCATTGACCTGATTTTTAGGAGAAGGGATGTCTAATTAATTTCTTAAGCTAGAGATGAGGTTCTGGAAAATTGATGAATAGAAGAGACATAGCTATAATTCAGCTATTTATCTAAATTTGGTTAGAAATGAGAACAGGTGGAGGTGAAAATAGTTTGGACATGTAGATGGGAAGTGTTTTCTTGCAATTTTGGACTGCAAAACGATTTGTCATGATCCATTGGTTCATATAGAATCCTTGTCCTAGGTGTATCAAAAAACACTCTTTTCGCGAAGTGTATATAATAAAGTAGAGTGAAAAGGTAACTGCAAGCCAAGAAAATGTACTATCCTCACTCTTATTCTCAGTCTTGTTTGAGAATTGATTCTTTACTTTCTTGGATTAAATTACAAAAGGAAAGAGAAGCGCTCATAGAAGCATCTGTTATGGGTTTTGTTTTGTTTGATGTTTATCACTATAAAGTTAGATGCTAAATTTGGCCCCGTGCTCATGTCAGTGATATTTTGTCACTTACTACGATGAGTTAGGCGGACATGATCAGCCATCTGCCACAGACTTAAGCTACAAAAGTGATGGATCTACATTGATCCTTGATACAGAAGAATAGAGTTTCACCATTATATGTTTTTGCATCTGCAGTCCTTATTCATGATTTAAGCTTCAACGATCATTTGGAGATTAAAACAGAACAAACATATTCTCTCTTGCAGATGGCATATGAGTTGCACAGCATGCTAATTGGTGCTGTAAGCATGACAACTGGAGAAAAGCTCATGCCAGCTTACCAGGGAAATTCCGAATCTTTTCTGAACAACGTAGTGTCTCCAGTGTATGATGTCATATATAAGGTACTTCAAAGTTTGGACATGCATTTACCTTTGATCTCTGCAATTTCAGTTTCTAACCTTATCTGTGAAACACTTAAGGAAGCAATGAAAAGCAGAAATGGAACAGCTGATCACTCGACATGGAGGAACTATGATGATCTGAATGAGTTCTTTTGGTAGAGCTAACTTTCTCTCCATGCCAATCTTATATTTCAGTTGAGGGACTCCTAAATATATGCCAGGAAGTTTATATGATATGCTGGTTGCTTCACCTTTCCAGGTCTCCAGATTGTTTTCAAATAGGTTGGCCCATGCGCCTGGACCATGATTTCTTTTGTATAGGATCTCCAACTAATCGCAAAGTTCGAAAAGAAAAGGCTTCTGTTGCCAACCAAGAAGGCAACAAAAAGGATGCTAATGAAGATGAAGAAATGGGGGTAAGATACAACTATTGACATTTCAAATTATACCAAATAATGTATGTAGACAGAAGAAAGTGGCCTGTCATTTCATTGATAATGCAAGTTTGTGTTTTATCTCAATGTATCTCGTATTTGTATCGTTACCACTTTCCCCTTTCTGTTGAATCAAGAAATACTTGGGCTTAAAACCTTTTGACTGCCTAAAGTCTATGGGAAGGGATAAATTTGCTTTCTCCTTCAATGATGCAGCCTTCTGTATATCAATGTGTGGTATTCCTGTTTGTTATGTGTTTGAGCATGGTGACATAGTTAGCTTTAAAGATTCTCTGTATTAGTGGGGACACAAGTAATTTGCTTCTCTCCTATTTGCTTTTCCACCTTTTACAATGAAATGTTGAGCTTTGTTGCAACAGCAGGACTAATCATGTGCAAATCAGTTGTTTTTTCCAATGTTTAAGATACTAAAATTTCAGAATTACAGTTTCATTTTGTGATCTTCAGATCCTAGTGGATGAGGTGCAGGAACCAAAGTGGCTGGGGAAGATGAATTTTGTAGAAATCCGCTCATTTTGGCAGATTTACAGAAGCTTTGACAGGATGTGGAGCTTTTTTATCCTATCACTTCAGGTGTGTTTGGAAAGAGAAGATATTAACAATAGCTTAAGTATACATTCTTACCTGGTTACTAAATCCCTTTTCTTTTTCTTCCTTTCTTGCCTGTTTTCTTTTAGGCAATGATAATTATGGCATCTCACAATTTGGATTCTCCTCTACAAGTCTTTGATGCAACAGTACTCGAGGATGTTATGAGTATCTTCATCACATCAGCGGTTCTTAAACTTGTAAATGGTATGACATGATTTGGAGAAATCTATTAGAGTTTAATCTATAAGAAGTGCTAGAAACACAATATAGTGAGTCTAAAACAAAAGTAGGATTGTAAATATCTGCTTGAATATAAGTGGTTCCTGTAAGGTACAGAACCATTTTAGGACAGAAGTGATTGCATTATGGCATTTTGACTACTTCATAAGAAGAGATCTCAGAGCGTCCTAAACGTTCCATATCAGCATGTTGGCACCCATTGAAGTTACTTTTTTCTTAGTTTTCAACTTTTATTATTAGAACGGGCACTCTTTAGTCAATAAGTGGGATTCTCTGGGAACTGATAGTTTTTTTTTTTTTGAAGGGAATTACTCTGTAGCTAATAGAGTTTGTTTGTGTGTGATTGTGTGCTTTAGACTGGTAACTAATGAATCTGGGATATTGTCTATGGAGGTATTACTTCAATGGCTATAAGAAAGACTTAGTTTCATATCATAATCTCGTTAAATGCTAATGTCTCTTAAAGATGTCTACTTTTGTAAGTTGCTTCCCCGTGAGTTTTTATTTGAGTACACAACCTGTTTGGTGGTTCTTATGAAGAGCAATTATCTTGTCCAAGATTTAAATTTTCTTGAAAATACGGTTTCCTTTTTTCCTGAATAAAATGTTTCCTCCGAGTTCACTGTTAAATAATCTTTCATGACTATTTTAGTTTTCCAAAATTGCAATGGTCACTCTTCTATGTATAGTTAGTTTTGCTCTTAAGCATCAAATAGTCCAATCGCCTTATGTAAATTGGTGTGCAAATATTTTGGCTAGGACCGCTAAGTCTCTTGTAATTTTATTGTCTACTGTTTTTCTTATTTGATTTATTTTATTGTCTACTTGCCTATCATAAATTAAGACAAAACGAGTGAAGATTCTCATTCTTGCAGCTATTCTTGATATCATCTTTACATGGAAAGCTCGATGTACAGTGGACCCCAATCAAACTCTGAAACATGTGCTGAGGGTGGTTGTTGCTATGATGTGGACCATCATTCTTCCCATATATTATGCTAGTTCTCGTAGAAAATATACTTGTTATTCAACGCAAAGTGGGAGTTGGCTTGGAGAGTGGTGCTATTCTTCCTATATGGTAGCAGTTGCATTCTACTTGATGACCAATGCAATTGACATGGTTCTATTTTTTGTGCCTGTGGTTGGAAAGTATATCGAGACCTCCAATTACCGGATATGCATGTTCTTATCCTGGTGGACTCAGGTGAACCTTCAGTGTCCTGGTCCTAGCCTGCACAAATGTATTGGAGCAATGCAGTCAAAGATTCTAAATATTTTAGGCTTGCAGTACATACTGATACTGTTTATTATCATTTGTCCTGCTACAGCTTCTTTTGATTTTTTAGCCTGCTTAGGACTAATTCATGAATGTTTTCTGGAATCAGCAAGATATCTGAGCTTAACTGCATATCAATTGCCAACTATTTGAGCAGATAAATCCCCACAGACTGCAAAAGAAATTTGAAGAATAAAATAGAAGTAACGATAAAAAATCATCTAGTCACTTATCTTATGTTGACCAAATCTTAATCCTATTATGGGATTTGCAAACAGGATTTGCATGAATAAGGTGTTTCTTTGTTGAACTTATCATATTTAGTATTTTGAAGTAAAGTCAATATCATGTTGGTCTGACCTATAATTCTATGACCTAAAAGAGTTCTGAGAAAGCAAAGTGCTTTTTCATATACTTAATGGTATGTGTTTCTTATTCATTATCGGTCAGTGTTGATTTTTTTCTCGGTATTCAAAATGCAGCCTAAGCTATATGTTGGGCGAGGAATGCAAGAAAGACAAGTCTCCCTTCTAAAGTATATCCTATTGTCCCTACTCTGAGCCTATTTTTTATTATTTTAAGTATTCTCTTGATGGGTTCCTCATTAAGCCTTATTTCTGGTTTTAGGTATACCATTTTTTGGATGTTCTTGTTAATAAGCAAATTCATATTTAGCTACGCATTTGAGGTGAGTGGTTCTAAGCCTTATTTTTGGCTTACAAGCTAGTATTACTAATTAGATCATTGGCATGTCCCTTTTTTTTTGGAATGCATGAGCAGTGAATCAGAAAATAAGTTTATTTTATGAATGTTTATGAGTTTCTTATATATTGTCTGCCCAAAGTTTTTAGTATGTTAGTGTTGTCTGTCTAGAAAACTAGTGCTTATTAGATGACTCTTACTATAATAGAGATATAAATACTAGAGTAAATAAGAGAACCTCTAGTGTTAGATAATCCTGAAGTATAGAGTATTGAAATATTATGGACCAAAACAGAGCATTTATGATAATGAGGATTCATACAGCCGACCCCAACTAGCTTGGGATGAGGTATAGTTGTAGTTGTTGTGCTGTATTTTCTAAAAGAACACATGGTCAATATTATCTGAGTTTTAGACACTCTTTATCTGAACAATTGAGTTGAATAACATTACTGTGGTATCCTGCAATAATTGCTTTACGCCTTTCTACCTCCCCAGAGTAGGGGTAAGGCATGCGTACAAGTTACGCTCCCCAGACTCTACTTGTGGGATTCCACTTAGTTATTGTTGTTATTGTTGTTGTTGTTGCTCTTCTTGGTATGATGTATAATGTTCTTAAGAATAATCCTTCCTTTGATAAAGTTATTCATTTCTAAAACTATTAAGGAGAATATTTTCACCAAATAGAGGTAAATGATTACGTCATTTTGCATAAGTCAATTTCTAGTCCAACTCCTTGACTCCTAATGCATATACTTTGTTGCTAATAACTTGTAAAACATTATTTATGTTCTTTGCTGATCTTAAAATATCACCTGATGCCTCCAGCCCTTGTTTGACGCCCACCCTCCTCCACTATCACATTTATCAACTTTTGTATCTGTGAAAGAAGAAGAGAAGGAAAATGGTGAATAGAGTTCTTTATTATTCCCTCAAACTGTTGGGTTTAAATAACCTTTGACAGAAATACAAATAAGGAAAGACTACAATTACAAGCCTA